GACGACCGCGTCCTTAACTACGCCAGATACAATAATAGCTCAGAATAATAGCGGGTAAATTCAACGTTTAGGAAAATCCTTTTATCCGCAGCTTTTTACAACAAAACTGCGGAGTAAACATACTACGCGCTTTAGCTTCTTCGTTTACGGTTATCACCGCCTATTGAATGTCATTTTTCGGTTTCATGTTCAATGATAAAATACAACGGCTAGTCGTTAAATGTTACGCATACTAAAAAATTAGGGTATTATAAAAATTTTACGGGATTTGTGATATCATCAGATGAGTAAATTTGGGGGAAACAAAATTTGTACTTAATATAGTAATAAATTTGAGATTTATAATCTTTCTTCGATTATCAGTTATATAACTAAAAAAACTTCATTGAATTGAGAGGAAATTTTTCAGTACGGAGATAGAAAATACTTAGACTTACATTCAAGCAAGCTTTCACTAATTTTAGATGATGATATCGAAAGATAAAAGTACTAAGATACTAATAAATAAACATCGAATTTAAATAATATATTCAAGACACCAATTTGCAAGTTCGTAGATTAATTAAGTTTAACTACAATTTAATGCACTGAATATTCACCGATTTCAAGTGACAAGTATACGGCTAATTTAAATTGATATGCTTTCGGTAAAATAAAAAAAATTAATTTATCTATCTAACTATTTCTACTAATTTAAAGTAGTTGAGAAACTGACAGCTGAATTGACTTGAAGAAGTTTCAACAATTTAGAAATCTATGTTTACACTGATAGAAGAAGTTTTTAACTTTTAATAAATTCATTTATTTGGAAACAATTTGTTAATTAATTAGGTGAAAGTTAGTAGTTTTAAATAAATAATAAATTATTTGACAACAATTAATAAATTTGACAATAATTCGTTCATCTATTAAATATAGTCAATATAGTTAAGTATTTATGAACAGTTGATAAATATTTATTTAATTATCTAATGTTAAAAAATTATTTATTAATAGTTAATAAAGCTTATTAAATATTTAAAAATTCTTTTATCAGTGCATAGAAAAGAAATAACTTTTTCTGGGATTCGAACCTAAGACCTCTAAAAATTTTTTAGTATACTTAAATATTCAAGTTTTATCATTTTAAGTACGAGAACTGTAGCGATCTAGCGGAGGCTTTTTAAACTATTTTTTTGATCCACTTTATTTTACTTTATTAAATAATTAAATTCATTTCTCAACAAACTGATAAAAGAATTAATTAACTTATAATAGATTTAGTAAATTTATTAAATCATCTAATGTTGAAAAATCATTTGTTAACACTTTTTTTTTTATTGAATATCAAAAAACCCTCACGTCAATGTAGAGTTGGAAGAAAAATCTAAATTCATCCCTGGAATTTCTAATTTTTAATTCCTGATTCATAACTAATGATTAATGACTAATATTAAAACAGACTTGTACATTGAAATGTTAATAAACTACAATAGAATCAGACTTCATGATTGTTATATATACATGTAAGTACTCTTACATGATACCGCAGAAACAATTAATGGTGAGATTGCTCAAGCGAAAGTTATATTTGCTTTTAACTTATTACTTAAATGGTTGGTCTGAAAACAGACTACTGAAACTATGGAACAGTAGTCGGGTTCTCTCTGCTACTGAAGAGCTAGACAGACTGAGAAACTCATACACACACTTAAATTCGCTCACAGATCATCAGATACTCGGAAACTTTGTTCAAGATCAATGTTTTAGCTGAGACATAAATACAAATTCAAGAATTTAAGTGGGTTATGCACACAAATGGATGTTTCAAGATGTTACTTCCTCGTTTCGGCCATCGAGGCCTGATCAATACAGATTTACACATACACGTGTATGCATCAGTGTAACTAGACTCTGTCATATATTTTCCGTGATTGTACGAGCAAATTCTACGCTCAGATGATTCTCGAGCTATTTCGACTACCAATTTATATTTCATGTATTTTTTTTAACCCATAAAAAATTCGTCTTATAGCTGCTAGTATGGATTGTGTGTTCCTGCCATCCAACCGTATAATACAAAAAGACTATACTACGTGTTCACTCAAACGGTAGATGAAATGCACGCCAAAATACATAAAGAAATTGAGAAATGTTTTAGATACAGAGGATTAGTTACTTCAGAACATCGTAAAAAAATTTTACTTAATTACAATGAATGATATTTTTTTAACCAACCAAATATTAACATGCAGTTTGTAAGTAATTGAAAATAAAATTGTTATTAGTATTAAAAATGTATTAAAAATTCTTCCTTATCAATACTGCAACAATAAAATGTACCGGAAATAGAAAAAAAAATTATTTTGAACTCTTTTACTTCGCGATTTTTCGCGAGTGGCTATTTTCAAGACAATTTAGAAAGATGGCTAATTATTTAAAATATAATTTTATATCCTTTAAGCTCATTTAATTCACCCTTTGATCTTATCTACATAATTTAGAGAATAAGGGAAATTTTGTCTCCGGTGTATTTATATCATAAAATGCGTTTTTTAAATTAAATTTAGTATCATTCGAAAGGTCTTGACCTGAAATAGTGTTGTAATAATGTTTCATATGCTTTTCAGCAATAGTTAATTTATTATGACTCGACATAACATTCTCGCTTTGCTCGCTTTCATTCTTTCAAAGATCCCGCCACTATCACAGTCGACCAATTAACAACCGAATAAAATAGTCACAAAAGTGACATAAAACGATACGACATCCGGCCATCAACTTTTTAGAAGAAGATAAGTTTTCGAAGTAGTTATGAACAGATTCGATTTTCGCGATAAACGTCATTATTTCATTTATTTATTTTATTTGGTACATTTCAAAGTGATAACATATGTCAAAAATTAATTATCATAATCAAGAGACTAAGAAAAATTGAATAACGGGTATATTTTTTTCGTAAATTGGGCTTACTATTCTTTCAACGATATTTGTCACTTTTGATTTAAATAATTAAGAGAGTAAGGAAAATTTTGTGACGGGCATACTATTATTTTTTAAAAAATTGTTATAGTTAAATTTGCTCTCTTATAAGAAATCAGTGAAATTGCATCACTGGTTGGAATCAGTGAACGTCCACTGGTGAACCAGTGAAATTCCACTGATTCCTTTTAAGAGAGTGGTATCATCAGAAAAGTTTTGACAAAAATTTGCAGAATTTGTGCCTTTTCACGGTTTTATATAATTGTCAGTGATAGTCAATATTTTATGGTAAGTTTTTGGATCAATTTTAAATAGTTTTTTTGTTCTATACATTTATTCTGTCATATTTGTTCGTTGAATTATTTTCAGTTAATCCTGTCATGGCACCATTATTTTCAAAATTTATATAAAAAGTACTCAAACTATGTATAGTGTGATTACGAATATCAAAAAATCATATTAAGCTAAAGTTATCTTTTTTTATAATCCGTAAACCTAGACAGTCACATAGTGACTGCAGGTTACTAGTTACTATTTTTGTTATTAATATCATTTTTTTTTGTTTTTTATTTGACGCGTAAAAATAACATTTTTATGAGATAAATATTAAAAAATTTTATGTGGTAGGTCATGTGTGAGTTAAATTTTAAAGAGTGTTAAAAATGAACATAATACTATACTCGATCACGTATTGCTTCTTCTCGGTTTTATGTATACATACATACGAGCGTTATCACTCTTACCCAGCCCAATGCACTGTTTCGACGCAGTAACTCTGGCAAGTTAAGCGAATAGAAGTCGGGCCGGTTATAGCAGTTACTGGTATGGTTTATACAACAACAGTTGACTCTTGTGTGCAGTTTAAAATAAATAATACATATAACGAAACCCATAGAGAGCCCCCGGGGAAACATATAGAGATATTTCTCTCTGAACGCCACTAGCAGCCACTTTATCTCCGAATGTTAATTCTCGACGTTTTCCACTCCTCTAAGTACCTATACACCAACTCCTACACCTACTTTTCGTGGATTCCACTTTGTCTTATCTTCGTTGGTTAACAGATCATTAAAACTTAACTTTAATTACTAGAGTGGCAGTTAAAAATACTTACGGACCCAAAACAATAAACACATTAATAAAAATAATAATGATCTATTCTTGCAGAAAATTTTATGAGCTACAATTTCGGTCTCACATAATTTTCAAAAATAATTTATCAATTTTCACGATGTAAGTACTACTTAATTTGCTATATCCCCGAAAATATTGATAATAGACCTATAGTATACAAACATTTTTTATAGTAAATTCAATAAGCTACAATTTTTGTCCCATATTTTTTTCTAAAATCAATATTTTAGAAATTACCTCTATTTTTATGGTAACTTAATAATGATTTTCCAATTTTAAGTACATAAGCACTAAACCGACTATACATTCGAAAATATAAAAGATAGATCTACAGTATATGAACATTATTAATAGGAAATTTACTAAGCTACAACTTCGGTCTCTTATGAATTTTTCCTCAAATCAATATTTTAGGAGTTATGGCGATTTTTATAGTGCCTAGGTACACAGAAAAAAAGGTTCACTTGAGCCAAGAAAATATTTTTTTTCCTACTTATTTTCTTGAACGAAAAAAAAATTTTTTTTTGACACAAGAAATTTTACTTATTCCAACAAAATTAACTCTCTTGCTTTAAGAAATAAGTATCTTAATTCAAAAAAATTTATTAAAGTCAAGAGAATCTCGTTTTGAAAAAATTGTAACGTATAATTTGCTTATCTCTAAACAAATCCACGTTTGAACATAATAAATTTGTATTTATGCTGAGATAAGTTCAGCGGGTTCCAGGATTCACGGTGGTAGGTTTCTTTCAAATTAAAACCCTCAGAATTATTTACGTTGTAAATAAATAAAATATATTTATTTATAAATACAAATAATAATAATAAATGATTTAAATAATAATTTTCCACGGTAAGTTTCTTCTGTCCGGTCTCTGGTTCCTTGTGTGACGGTGTATTCAGCGATGTTGCTCTCTGGTTTCCTACAAGGCCCTTTACGGCGACTGGAAGTTTTGCTTTGCCAGTTAAAGCAAAACTTACGGTGTATTGACTGGAGATATTTTGAATGCTATTAAAAATACCCGGCAGTACTCCTTGGCTGGACTGGAGATTTCTTCATTCTTGAGCACTAAGTTTTCTTACGTTTTTAGTTTTCCAGAGCCTGCTTTCGAGTTCCTTGTTACTCAGCTGCTAGCTCGAGGAAGAGTGATCTGGGGCTCCACGACTCCGGTTTATATAACTCTTTCGGCTGGCGGTGGGGACAAAATAAGCTTTGCCATTGGTCCGGGAGCTCCTATACCCCTTCCGCTGTATTTGGACTGGCGCGCATTCTTGCGGCGCATCGCGGCTTCCGAGTCGCCTGACCCGCGAGCTCCGATTTTCCTTGACACGGTCTTTGGCTCGCGCGCACCTTTACGGCGCATCGCGATTCCCGAGCTGCTTACTTGGCGGTAACTACCAAGTCCTTACTGGTGACTGGCGTCTTTGCTTGACGGTGACCGTCAAGAAAGTTTCGCGCATGCGCGAAACTTTTCTTCCTTTGTATATTTTTTTGTAAGTACTTTTTTTTTTTTTTTTCCTCATTAATAAATAAATATTTTTTTCCTTCCGTCACAAAATTCAGCCTCTTGCTCCAATAAATTTAGTTCTTGATAGAAGTAAATTTTCTTGCCTTGAGAAAATTTCTCCCTTGCTCCAAAAAATTAAAGATCTCGATAGAAGTAAACTTTCATTAATATTTTTATTGATTAACACGTTAAATGGGAAGATAAAATAATATTGAATAATTTTTTTTTCATTCAATATGTATAATTGCACGCTAAAATAATATAAAATGGGTATCAAATATTCAAGAGAAAAATTTTCTCAAGGTGAGAAAATTTTTTTCTCAGCTGGAGTAGGTGGCGCTGCTTTCCTAAAGTATCTAAGAATCTTGATCAAATATAAAAATTTATTGTATCAAGTATTTATGATAATTTGAATTAAGAAAAAATTACTTCCACCAAGAATAGAATTTAAAGAAAAATTTTTACTTCGGCCAACACAGCTTCGGTCTTCCTTCAGGCATCCGAAAATTTTCTTGAGCCAAGAATTTTGTTCTCCAGTCAAGAAATTTTTCTTTCTGTGTAATGATTCAGGATTTAGCTAAAAATTTTTATACAATTAATCAAGTAATAAAAATAATAATAATTGTAAAGGTTGAATTAGATAAACTAAAGGGAATAAAATTCCGTTTTAAAAGACTATCTACATGACTAGATTGCTTTAAAAATATAGCAACCCACGAAAAATTGCGGAATTAAAAAGAAGATCCGAATGAAAATTTTTTTTGGATTTTGCTGTTATAATTTATAAGGGATAGTTTTAGATACATTTTTAATAACAATAAAAATAATATAGTTTAATGCGAGTATAAAAGAAACGAAAATAAAAGTTTAATTTGATTAAAAAGAGTAAAAGACCGCGAGCGAATAAAATTAAAAATGTAAAGTTATAATATAATTATCTCAGGAAATGAAGGAGATTAGCAAGAAAGATGAATAATAATTTAAATTACAAAATAATAAAATATCTTATGAAATTTGTCGACAAAGCGGTATCAATTTTCTTAGTGTGCTAATCTACAATTCAAAGCGACGAGTTTCCCCTGAACTGTGGCTCGGTCTTATCTCAATTTAACGCCTGATGTTTTATTACTAAGTTTAAGTGATGGAGGAATCGCATTTTACCAGCGATGACGACTCTCGACCGCAAAATCACTCTAATTATTGTTGTTAGTTCCCTAACTCTGTTGTTGGATAATATTGGAGTAGTAACCCTTGTCACGTTTGTGTTCTATTATTGTAATGGTAGGTTGTACTATTTGACGCATCGGTGTTTAATGTTCAATGTTTAGTGTTGATGCTGCACCACGCCGCTTATGGTTATTGCTGACGCGCTACTTGAGCCAAAACTCCATCCCCTACCACTCGAGTCAGAGATGTCGAAATCACGTCAACCTTTCCTTTTGTTATTGTTATTACTCGGCTATAATTTGCTAAATTGGACAAACTATTATATTATGTTATGTCAAATCAACGATTAGCACATCGTAAACGCAATCATGTCGACGTTATCCACCCGCTGTGTTAATTTTTTTTTGTTTTATTATAAAGTACCTTTTTATCTGATTTGTTATTCATATCACGACAGTCTCGAGTCAGGAGCGACAACATAATGATAGTTATTAATATAATACAGCTCTAGATTTTTGGCACCTGATATTAATTCAATTATTTGCCTATTGATTTATTTTAGAGTGAACTCTTATTGAAAACTAAGTCAATTGTTTTTATTTTTAGACTAAAGCTAGGAGTATTTTTATAACTAAAATTTTAATTGTTTTTTTTTTTTTATGAAATCTTAAGTTTTAAAATTGCGATCAATTTTTTCTGTCCTGAGAAAATTAAAAAAAAATTGAAAACGAGATAAAACATAAGTAATTTAGAAGAAGCTACTCACCAGAAAATATGTATGGAATTGTTGAGCATGAAAGATTAGTCCAGGCAAAAACTTGATTTTCTGAAACAAAAATGAAAAAAAATTTTTTTATTATAACAAACATGAAAAGCGCATAAAATGATTTTTAATTTTATTAACAAACATGATTTACTTCTTAGATGAGTGTTACGGAGGTTCAATAAATTTTTTTAGAAATTAGTTCTTGGTTTCGCCGCTAGGTGGCATGTGCCTCTCGCTTACAGAAAAATGTTACCAGAGTATATATTAGGGCGGCGAAAAAAACCGCCTATTTCTTTTTTCGGGTTTACTATAAAAATATGTTAGTTTATAATGTTTTAAGAGTCTTCGACAAAAATTATCTACATAAAAAATTGTTTTAGGGCTCGCTCAAGATTTTTTAAACTTTGAAATTAGAATACTTGAATTTTTTCTTTTAACTTGTCAATATTGATATCAACGAACTTAAACATTTGTTTCTATCAAGTTGACACAATAAAAGATATGAATAAACCATCAAAGAAATAAATAAAAGTCTGACAAAACAATAATTATCTTAATTATCCTTGTATCGTTAATTTCAAAATTGTTATCAGACATCTGAAGAAAGTTTAAAAATCTTTAGAGACTTCTATCAATAAAAATTTCGACTTTTAATTTTCAAAGTTTACATCATTTTTAACCTACTTAAAAATAAACTAACGATAAAAAATACGAAAAGCTTAAATTTCAATTTTCGTCAAGAACTTTTGAAAATCTTAAGTGACTTTCAATAAATTTTTTATTAAGCTATTATTTGCAGTATCCATAAATTTCTTCAACAACCAATATTACTGTTATTGGAAGTTAAATATGCAAAATTGATTTCCCACCGAAGAGAACAATTATTGCTCATAGTACCATGAAGATTCCGTCACGAAGATAAACAACAGAAGAAGATCAAGACCCAGAAGATCAACCAAAGAAGAAGTAGAAGAGGGCTCGGTTATAGAGGCAGAAGGTTATAGAGATCGAGTTATCCTTAGCACGACTTGAACCGGTTTTTACGGAAGAATTATTTCTCTTGGAAACTTGGCCTGTGTTGTTGTTATTGTTGTTGCTGTTGTTATTATCGTTGTTGTTGTTATTTCTGCCTGGAGGTGATCTTAGAGTCTCTCGAAGGAACTGCAAATAAGAGTATCTTCGTCTTTTCAGGATCCTCGCGTTCAACAAAGATGTCTTCCTCCTCTTGTTATTATTTCGCTCTGTCTCTGTCTGTCTAGTTTCTTCTCTTTCGTGTCTGCAAGATGTTAGTTCGCGGTCCATGGCCATTTTTATCCTTTCTCACAACCCTCAGAGGTAAAAGGCACTCATAGCATCATATATATTTATATAGTTAGATAGTTACAGATATATATGGTGTGGCGAATACTGTTGATGCGACGAAGATGCGGTGACCTTTAAACGGCACACTTTCCCAATGCCGACTCAAAAGTACGCGACACATGACCTCTCGGTTACACACGACCTCCACCGAAGAGAAGAGACGCTCCGACTTTGGTATCCGCGAGCGGTGACACAATTATAAATAATCTTTCCCGAACCGCAACATTCCGCGGGATTTTTATCCTGAAAATGAAAGTCTGCCGGCATTGTTCTTAAACTCGCTTGGCTTCTTTAAACTTTATGTCACTTCCGCTAGAGAAAAAATTTATTTACTTATCTTTATGTAACGAGAGAAAATTCACTTTTTTATCTTATAGAATTTCAAATTTTAGCCTACACGGAAAGAAAATTGAAGGAAATTTTTATTAAATAAAATAGTGACGGTGGACTAAACTTCTCATTTATTGATTTTTACGATCTACTATTGTAAATTTTATCCAACAAATAAGACTAGGAAGAGACTTAAAAAGTCGAATACTATAGAGCAAATTATACATGATGTGTTAGTGAAATTTACAATTCAACTATTGTAAAAATTGACAATCGGTTTTTTTAAAAGAAATTTTAGAAAGGGAGAAAGATAGAAGGTTGGACTAATTAGTACTTTTGCAGTAACCGAAAAAAGAATTCGGAATTTTCGTCCTATCCGGGAATCGAACCCAGAACTTAGTTGGTAGCAAAAGACTCTCCCTCTACTATTGATGTCCTTCAGCATTTACATAAACTCCGAATCAAGCGCTGTGCACGGCCATCACTCACACTAATTGAATAACATTCAAATTCAACTATTGTAAACTTTGTTGTACTTTTATTGGAAAGATATAGAGGCAACACTGGAAATTTTTATCTCTTATTTTTTGCATAAGTAATATCGTATTTTTTCTAATCGAATTCACTACAATAAATATTTTTAATATTTGGTGAAATTACGATAGTAAATATACAATGAAAAAAAAAAGTTAACCAAGAAAATTTGGATCTTCAAAAATTTGTTGGGCAAATATAGATTACTTGTAATTCAAGGGTTTTTTTTAGTAGATTTCATAAAAATCTAACTATTGTATTTGTCCTGATGACGCAACTTTTGAAAAATTTTGCTATATTCCGACTTTACTTGACGACCTGAGTCAGAAAATACATATGGTTCAAAAGTTCATATATGTATATATTTATATATATACGATATAACGCGGGGCTTGTCAGCACGATAGCGTCTACAATTATTTAAGGATTTCAATGAAACTCAACGTACTTATTCTATGAACGATTACGAAGGTTGAGTTCAAATTTGAACCAAATCGGTCAATTAGTTTAGAAATTACAGCATTTTAAAATTTTGAAAATTCCATATTTTTACCAATTTTCCTTCAAAAAACTTTTGAACGCGTCGAGATATTTAAATTCTGTAAAATGCATCTAAAAGCTCAGAAAATAAGCTTTAAATTACATGTTTACATATATTTCTAGACCAAAAAATATCTATTCTGGGTCCATTTCAATGAAATTTTACTCTTGCAGTCGTTTTGTTTGGT